CACTCTGTTGTAGCACATTATTAGAGTACAACCAATAGTAATCATTACTTTACCAGCATCAGTAAGCGGTTCAGACTTTCCTTCTTTGCGATTATACATTTTGATTCTCTTGTTTGTACAATCCGCAATAAAAATAAATAAACTTCTAGGGAATACTTTCAAGAAAATTTCTAGACGTGACGAATTCATATTAATTGATTCATCAACTACATAAGGTATTTCAGGAGGAACAGCAAATCTGGGTTTATGATCAGCTGCGACTGATGTCCATACCATAGGGAGTTCTCTTTTCTTTTTATTGATAATGGCTTTCTTACCTTAAATTAAATCTTCCCCATCTGGCAAGCAAGTATTCTCGTCTTCTTCATTTTCAGGAGAATCAAATGAAGACGTATTTGATCCATCTGATGAGCTAGTATGTTCTTCTTCATTGTCAGGACATCTGATGCCATATACGACTCATCAGAAAATACGACTCGTTTTCTTGACATGCTGAAAAAAACCAATGGGATATAAAAGGCCCATCCAACAAACCCAGTGGGACAGCACAGCTATAAAATGCTTCGCAATGCTGCTAAAAACAGAATTATTTAATCCTGACTATTTAACATCTCACCTGACAAGACGATGTATGGGGGGACGCCTACGCAGAAATGCACGGCATTTTAAGAAGAAGAAGGAAAGGCAATCAGACAATTAAATATTAGAATGAAGGGAACTATTTTTAATAGATTAACGCAAATTCTCGCATTCGCTGACGATATAGTTATAGTGGGCAGAAGTACGAGAGACATGGTGCAGTGTTTTAGAATGCTTGCGGACACGGCAAGTGAATTAGGATTTTGGTAAACGAGGAAAAAACCAAACATATGTTGGTTTCTAAAAACCCCCGAAATATCCAACAGAGAATTCAAATTAACAACCACACCTTTGAGCAAGTCAAATAATTCACACATCTTGCATCGCTAGTAAACGCAAAAAACAAGACAAGCGACAAAACAAAAAGGCGCATAGCAATAGCAAACAGAACTGTTCATGGTCTCCAGAAACATTTAAAATATATAACGTGAAGTAAAGCTCGATATATACAAGACCTTATTAAGACCGGTTTTGATATATGGGCCGAAACGTGGACCTTCTTTCAAAATGATCAAAAACTTAAAATTCATAGAAAGATTTTTGTTTGGGGCCATAAATGAAAATGGGCTATGGCGTAGAAGATAAAACTTTGAACTATCTCAGTTATACACCGATGGAGATATTGTGAAAGTCGTTAAAGTGCAGAGACTTGGGCTGGATACATTGCTAGGATGTCAGATTATGAATGCATCAAGAGATTAAAATTTTTAAAACCAGAGGGCGACCACGAAGGAGATGATGTGGAAGAAGACCTACATATTTTAAGGGCCAGAAGATGAAGGGAAGTTGCCAGGAATAGACAGAAGTGGCGACTTCTTTGTGAGCAGGCCAAGATCCACAACGGATTGTCGAGCCACTTATGATGATGATGATTTTTGAATATAGTTGATATCGTGAATTTTACCTTTTTGATTTCGATATTTGTATTTTTTTCTCTTTGATTTGGGTATATCCCATTTTTGTTTTGTTTATTCAAACATTTAAAGACAATGGCGCCCTTTCTTTTTTGAAGAGTTGTTCCCTTCCTTAATACCCTTTCTTTGTTGGCATTAGGGAGGATTCCCATGCAACCAGAATCATTAATTATAGTATTTTAATATGTAAAAGGATCAAACAGGGATTACACTCTTCTCGTCCAGAGGTCAGTCAGGGCATTTTTGTTGACAACACAAGGTATACCTCTGATAGTGTGGGTATAAACATTTAGGAAAAATTGATGGATTCGACCGTTACTTGATGGAAATTCATTTTATGTAACAATAAAAACACTGAAAACTTTGTTTTCAAACTTCCACAAACTTTATTTTAAATATTATCACTACAGCTGTTTCGGCTGATTGCCTTTCTCATGTGATCTATTTTGGCTTGGGTTTACAAATTTATAGTCTCTAATGAAATAGGTTGAGGAGGGGAGAACTGTTTGTCTCAAGTTGGTCATTCAGAATTATATCTGTGTTTTTTAATTTGTTGATTTCCATAGATTCTAACAAAGATAGCTTAAGGCCTTTATTTTGAATGTGAAGAATTTCAAATTTGTCATTAAAAGAATGATTATGATCTAGAAGGTAAAGTGCGTATGTCGAATCTGTTTTTCTATTCTTGAAAGCCCTTTTATGTTCTGCTATTCGTTTATCAAAGTTTCTACCAGTTTGACCGATGTAAGTTTTTGGGCAGTCGCCACATTGAAGTTTGTACACACCAATATTTAAGTGTTTTTTATTTTGGCTCTTGTTATTTTTAATATATTTGCCTAGGTTGTTATTTGTTCGGAAAGCTGGTGTTATTCCTTTCTTTTTTGTGTTTGGCAATTTTTGTTGTTATTTTGCCTGTATATGTAATCGAGCAGTTTAGGAAAAACATGAGTAAAATAAAAATGAACTTATAGTTGAATTTTTGCTGTTTTGACAAAAGAAAACAAGCAATCGTAAATCTCTTGTGGTCCAGATCTCCAATTATGTTACAAACCACGCAAAGATCTCTTTAGAGTATTTTCATTTTATGCAAATGTGCTGGATATAACATGCCGTGGCCAAACTTCATTCTAGTTCTATAAGATTTCTTCTCAATTTGGTTTCTATTTTTGTATATCGAGTTAAGTACTCTTGCCATAAGTATGTTCATTTTTTCAACATTTTTCGTTTTGATAAATTTATATGTTCTTCTATTGATAACTCACAATTTATATCTTCTCTCATTTGTATACATCCTTTGGGAATGTTATCTGTGACTTCATTGTTTCTTATATCTGCGTGTGATTTGCCCTAGTAGAATTTAAGACCCTTTCTTTGTTGTTTAGTATCTTCTCTTCCTTTCGTTTCTCACCTCCTAAGCCCGCCCGTAATCATCCGGACTGAGCAACGGTGCCTTCGTGCGTATTGTATACCGGTGTTCTAATATTAATTCATCACAATCTACATATCTAGGTATGATACAAGGTTAATGGATATTATGGAGTGTAAAAAAATATTAGCTTAATAAATAGACCAATTTATTATCTTAGAACATTTTTAAGAATACTTTTATTTAAAATCAATTTATTCATCAATAATCTTGTCACTGGTACACTAACTGAAACCATCTAACTTAAAACTCAGTTCAACCATTTTTGTAAGTATGCTGATAAACTTTATCAAAAAATTACGTATCAGCATTTAATATCATTTGCATATTTCTCTGTATTTCTGATCAAATAAAGCTAATACGAAAATTCAGGATAAAAAAATAGTAAATGCTTAAACAAAACACAAACTTATTATCAAAGATTATTACTTATTACAAACGTATCAAGAGACTACACATTCAAAGAGATGTCAATAGGCGCAAATGGTACATTTGCATTGGCAGCATTTTGGTTAAGTGCCTCATCTTGCTCAAAATCAAAATATTTCATATTACGTTAAATAACAAGCACTGGAAAAATATTCAATTTACAGTGAGATTAATCAACAATTATGGAGGGCAGATGTGATTAACTGCATGCACAGAAGAGTATGAAACAGTAAATTTACAATAGAACAATACTCCAATTTCAACCTCATTTATTTTGTTAGCTTTGGAAGGCATGATATATTTTGAAGACATATTAGTAGAGAGGAGCACACCAAACTTATGGAAATGATTAAAATAATGATTTGCGAAAATCCTCTAGGGCGATTTATCAGCAATATTGGATACAACAGATTCATACTAATGCATGGTAACTGCAGTGACTTGGTGACTGATTACCTTACCTCAGCTCAAATTTAAACTCTGAATTGGTTATCATATACTTAGTTAGGACTTAACATGGAAGCTGACCTCACATAGAGTTAAAGCCAAACAGAATGAACAGAATGATAATAATAGTTAAGATGTCAATCCAATAAAATAATATAAGAAGATATCTTGTTACTATTTGTAGCACAATATGAATAGAGGAATATATTGGGGGGGGGGGGGGAGTGAAATATTATTACAATCTTATTTTAATCAATGCATTCAAACATTGCAACACTATATGAGTTAAGTAGTTTCATCTAAGCATCATTTATTTGGGTAATTCCAATAATCGTCTTTCCATAAATTCTGATATTTAATTAAAACATTTTAAAATTTATGAACTAGTACAAAGTGCTTGTACTAGTTGTGCTACTTAAAGTTCACTTTTTTATTTTGAAAATTTTAAAACATTTAATAGTTTTGTCCAAAAGTACAGGAAATAACTTTTTGAAGGTTATTCTTTGTTAAGTTACATGGTTTCCAATATATTTTGAAATGTTTTCTAACTACTATCTAGGATTTTTTCTTTATTAACTAATTAATCACATTTTACACTAAAATTCTCAAAATCACATTTAGATTTTAATTAAAAATGCTCCATTTGTAAAGTTTGAATTATTCTCTACAGTAATGCAAATGTTTTAAATTAAAAATAAATAAACTCTATAGGTTTTGAAAAGTTGGAAGCTCCAAAGTACTTTATGGCTTTAATAATATATCAAAAAGAAAAACAAACATGATTTGATTCCTTTGAATTTTTATTTTATTATCACAAAAAGTTCTTCATTAAAATGAATTTGAAATTTTACAAATGGAGTACCAAAATGCAAACAGGTTAATACATTTATTTTAAATGCAATTATAACTTATTCGAGAACAAAATTTATTACAAAATATGACCTGCAAATATTAAATAAATAGTACGACATTTGTTATAACAAAATCTCACGAATATCAAATTTACAAAATTATATTTTGGATACACAAATTTTTGTTTCTTGAAAACATTTTATAAATAAACCACAAATTTAACTTTAATAAAGTAAAAAAAATATAGCAGCATAGGGAGCTGTAATTAATAGCAACACTTAATTTACCTACGTCTAAGAGGAATGAGGTTGGTTATCAGATTTATTATCTTCTTTTTCAGGTAGAGTTAGATCACTTGGTGGTGCCCGTGGGGATTTGCTGGCTCTTCGCTGGTTTAGCAAAGATGGCGTCCAACTAAAAGCTAGAGAGCTCGGTTCAACACTAAGACTTTCAGCATTATCACTCATAGGAGGGGGTGAAACAGATGGCACAATAGGAAATTTGGACTGAGAAGTAGAATGTTTCTTTTTTTCCTTCATTGGTGACTCCTTCCTTCGAGTTTGGTCATGCTCAGGATAACAATTTATGGACCGTAAAAATGATTCCAAAGGACCCATAACTGATTCTTTCGTGATCTGAGATATAGGAACAGTTTCAGTCCACACCCCAACTTGATTAGTACTAGATTCAGGTCCTGACATATCCAATTGTCTAAATCTATGCTTCAGTTTTTTTCTATTTTCTGCAGTGAAGTTACCAGCACTTATAATTGAATTATCTGTCGATAGTGATCCAAGCAAAGCTAAATCTAGATTTGAAGCAGTTAGATCTAACAAATTACTTGCAGGATCCTGAGCTGTGTTTCTTCTTGGAGAATTTTCAAAGAAATTAAGTAATTTTAATCTATCTTCAAAGGAACTAGTCATTTCAGTAGGAGAGAGTGCTGTAGCACCTACAAAACTACTATTCCCAGAACTATTATCATTTTCTAACATTCTTTGAGCCATAGAGAATTCTGCATATTCAACATCATTTTCCCCAGACATTGTTTCAATATCCACATCATTTTCATCATTAGATATTACTTCTCTATGTTCCAATTCTTCTATTAAAGGTTCAGGTTCACTTAAATCACTTTCACTGCTACTGCTAGATAACATTAAAGAGGACACAGCAGTATTTAAAAGATTAGGAGAACTTAAAGAAACACTAAGTCCAAGACGATGAGGAGAATTTGGCTTTTTTGTTGAATTATCTACTTTCCCTTTTGAAGAGCAAGGACATTCATCAGATTTTGTTTGGGTATTTGATTCTACAGATACTAAACTTTTAGCAAAATTTGCTAACTCATTTGAGAAAGATTTACCAGCAGGGCCATGAGATGTTGAAGCTTCTGGACTACAATCTGTATCTCTATCTGGACTGGGTAAAGTGTATATATTCTTTACTAATGAAATGTTGGATACATCAGATTGCTTTTTTGGCCTAAGGCTTGATGCTACAGCATTCCTAGATATTTCAGCAGCTAAACGCTCCTTTGATTCATTAATCTGTGTTATGTATTGATGTTGCACAGTTTGTAACTGATTAATATACCATTGTTGATCCCTACACCTTTGATAAAAAGTTGGAGCTCTAACTTGAAATCTCAAGACAAGAGTATCCTTGGCTTCATTTAAATATCCTTCACTTGCCAAGAGATCAAGACGGAAAAACCTATTATAACCCCAACATTCTCCTACTTCAAAATCTGAAGCGAATTCTCTAACTACATTTTTTGAAGAATCTCTACTCACTTGATGAACCATCTCAACTCTGTATTCATATTTGGATGTTTCTGGATATCCTGCACTAAGCTCTAGAAAAACAGAAAGATAGTTTCCTCTTACTACTCCATTTCCATCTGGATACACCTTTAACCTCCAACAAAGACCATTACAGTGTAATGGTGTAGAGTAAATAGGATCAGCCTTACGCTGGTAACGTGAAAAGCCATGCATTACAAAAGTACAACTGTCATAAGCAGGTACAATTTCACTATGAAAATCTGCTGGAACTGGTGCAGTCACAAAACTAGTCATTGGTTTTTTTCTTATTGCATGAATCATTCTTGAAATTTCACTACTTTTTGATATCAGTTCTGATCTGGTAGATACATGCAATTGATGTTCTATTTCATGAAGTAAATGTTCTAATTGTTCGGTTTCTTGTGTGAGTGAATCTTTTTGTCCCATGAGAGTAAGTAATTTTGTTTTTAATTGAGAATCTAGCCTAGCGATCATTACTTTGACAGCATTTCTAATTTCTCGTACTCTATCATCTTTAGCTGATCTCACAGATTCAACATTCCTTTCTACTTCTTGTACAATACTAATTAATTCCATTAACCTTCTGCGTAACTGAGCAATTTCATCTTTAATTTGGGTAACATGTTGTTCATAAACTTCATCTAGAGGTTTAAATGTATGACCTGAATGAGTTCCTCCCCAAAGGGCACACTGGTGGCAGATACAGCATCTGCAAGTCCAACAATAAACTGAAAGCTTTTCCAAATGAGTTGAACACTTGTCCCTGTCATTTTCATCGTTCCGATTTCCATTAAGACTAACAGCTTGTAAACTATCAAGCTGCTGGGTTACTTCCTCAACCCACCTGCAGTTCACAAGTTCATGTAAGTGTAGAGAAGCTCTACAATGAGGACATTGAGATCTTTGTTCTGTTAACCATCTGCGGATACAAACATAGCAACACAGTTTTGAACAATGTGGACACAAATGAGCATCTCTAAGTTTTTCCATACAAATAAAACATCTAAAAACCTCAGCAAGTGTTTCCACGCTATGTTCGTCATGTTTTGTTCCTACTTTGTTTCTAGTAGCCATTTGACAGAAGTTAACTTCTTAGAAACCTGAAAAAATATTTTCAGTCAAAAACAATGCATGAACCATTTATAGAGTTTGACCCTTGCTGACCTCTTTTGTGTAAGTAAGAAATGAGAGCAATATTGAATAAGTGAATTGTTTCCTTCCTGTGCATTGTTACAACGATCTTTAAAAACTATTTTATGTCAAGAGCTCAACAAAAGAAGTAATTTCAATTGGTTTTATTTACAGTTAGGTATGTATCATAAAGGTCAACAATACTTAGTTTCAAATTTTATAACATGCAAATTAAATGCAGACAAATAAATTACTATGAATTACATGTAAAATACGCACAAACAAATTATTAATTAAAGCAACAAAAATAAATTATTTACAAATACAAAATCAATAGTTTTCTAACCTCATTAACCACCAAAATGTCACTGATTTTCTATATTCTTCAAATTCACTACACAATTAATGTACTGTATATTTTTCCAATATCTAAAACATCTTTGTAATGGTTGGTTCATCAGGTTACCATAAAAACCACTTAAAAATAAAAAAAATTGGATTCCACAAGAACTATTTACAGTCACTAAACGTCAAATGAGCAACACAAAACAAAAGGAAAAAGCAGGCAACGCAGGCAGAGAACACAAAACGGCCAGTTTACACGAGACAAACCGTGGGCGAAACTGATGACCTACCGATATGTTCGATAGTACAGTCGCTTAACCTGTTTTTTTAGATGTAACATTTTTTAAAACGCAATTGGAAATTCCATCATTTAGATTTAATTTATATTCGCATAACAACTATAATTTTCTTAAAATTTATTAAAAATACGACAAAATAAACAATATAATATTATTTTTATTTCTGACATTTTTATTTAAAAATGTTTTGTAAAGTTTCAAGAATGAATTAATTTCGCGAAAACTATTTCGCTGTCCAGGATTTTTAATTTAAAATATTTTTCAGTTGTTTGAGCTCAAAATACAGATTTGTTCTATTTAACTGGGTATTTAAAGTATATTTAAACGATCTCAAATTTAGATTTTGTGCAAAATTGTATCTAATAGACAGACATACTCTCATCACATTGTTTAATACCTACAGCGAATCATATTTCAAGAAGCTGATCATATTTCGATTATTTCCGACTCACTCTCTGTTCTTCTTGTTATTCAAACTATGGATTTTCTTAATAACAATTTAAACAATTATATACCTTCTAATTACGAAAAATAGACAATATATTTTACGGGGGAGCAGCACATTGAAAATATTGAGTTATGAAGAAGTAGTTCGAATAATAAAGAAACTAAAAAACAGTAAAGCGCCAGGAACAGACGGACTTTCGGCAGAATTGTTGAAATATGAAGGACCCGAAACTCTGGGGAAGAATCCATTACCTGATCAAGTTGGTATGGACAAAGGAGCAAATGCTGGAGGAATGGACAGTTGGTCTAATACAGCCAATATATAAAAAAGGAGATAAGAGGGAATGCCAGAATTACAGACCAATTACATTGCTAAATTTAATATACAAAATCCTTTCTGGCATTATCTACACTAGATTGTCAGAATACACCAAAAATATAATTGGTGATTATCAAAATGGATTCAAACCAAACAAAGCCACTACAGACAATATATTCATACTTAGAACAATACAAGAGAAAGATATACCAAAAATATATATCAGCCTCATAAAAATGACGTTGCAGGGTTCAAAAGCCGCAGTTAGAGTAGATAGAGAACGTCTCCCCTGTTTGATGGAAAGTTCGTAAGAGAATATTAAATGTTCTTTAAATTAAATTGTTCAATCAGTATTTAACCTTAACTAAAGGTGAAGAAATGGTTGAACGTAGATTCGCCCAGATAATTGAAGATACTGTGATTATGATAACTTACAGTAATTATCGATGAGTGCTACACTAAACTGATTCTACGTACTATACTTGTATCAAGCACTGAAGTTAATTAAATTAAAAGGTACTGTATACCAATATTTAATCTAATGTGGCATTATATTAAGATACGCAAATATTTAAGTGTGTACACACAAACATTCACAGAGAACACAGAGACGGTAAGATATGGCGAGCGTCCTTACGCAAAGACTGCCCTGCCAGAAGAAATGTGGTTCCTCTAAAAATTTAACAAGCTCCCCCCAAAAAAGGGTGGGGTAACTTCCACTTAAAAATGACAGGGCAGGCGTATTTCTAAGAAGGTAAGGTTCTAACGAACATCGAAAATAACGGTACTCTTTTAGCTAGAACCGTGATGAAATACAAATCCTTTTGGATTAGACTTTTACAGAAACATACCACAAAATGCTTTCGACGATATTTAACAAATCTATCAAAAGGAAAGGAAAGGATTAGTTTCTTTCGTACTCAGGATTAGAAAGGAAAGGATTAGTACCCTTTCGTAATCTGAGAAGTAGGTACGTTCGAAAATTTAACAAACTATTTGTGAATACGACCATGGGCGTATCAGCAACAGGTGTAAAAAAATTAAAAATAAATTAATATTTTAATTATAAAAAAATGTTACAACATTTAGTTTTATCTGACGCATTCATATTGACAATTCAGACATATATTATACAACGTCAAAAATAAACTTATTTTAAACTTATATTGTGACCCAGTCCCTACGAAAATAGTAATTTTTATTTTACTCTAATTTTATGTTATTTCATTTTATATTAGTTTATTTTACTGTATTTTATTCTAATTTATTTTATTTTTATTTCATTTTATATTAATTTATTTTACTGTATTTTATTCTAAATTATTTTATTTTTATTTCATTTTATATTAGTTTATTTTACTGTATTTTATTCTAATTTATTTTATTTAATTTTATTTATTTAATTCTAATTCTATTTTATTTTAATCTATGTTATTCTATTTTACTCTATTTTATTTTATTTTACTCTATTTTATTGTATTTTATTTATTTTAATACACAGTTTCTGACTTGCCGCTAATGTACCTAACAATATCTATGTTTTTACCTTTAAGAAAAGGTAACAATTGTCGTTGGTAATCGTTCAGCTCATTTCATTAAGTTTTCTCTTGTGAAATAAAGTGGTTGTCCAACAGCTAAATTAACTACAGTAGGATTACGTTTGTGTATTAAAAATGACGAGGTTCTCCAAACCGCCTCATTGATATATCTTCCCATCTGAAATGTTGAAACTTCATCTTTATTATTTGGAGCCGCAATACCAAATACAACTATGTCGTTACGTCAATCTGTCAACACTGACATTTATTTTTAATCATAGCTTCCTTTGTTAATCATAGTATGGCGCCATCTATTAGTTATAGTGCAATTTAAAATGACAGAAACACTTTTTTACGTCTTTCCGTACATTTTTTTTTGAAAATTCTTCTACACAAATCTTCTGATATTAAAAAACAAAACAAAAAAGAATGATCAGATTTGGTGAAGTCGTTCAGAAGTTATGCGCTTACAAACACTTCTGAGATTCATTTTTATTTATATATAGATTACGAATAGTATACTTACTACCACATCTCGATTCCAAATCAAGATTATTTTATAATCCGTTGGTTATTGAATTAGAACTCATATGTTAATAGGTCGAAATCTATTTACATCATTAATTCGAATACATTAACAAGAGATGGAATACAATACTCTGACAAGATAAACACTGCAAAATAACGTACATTTTCGTTCGTTCAATTTTAATATTTAAATACAACTTTAAACTACCAAGACACGTAAAAAACATTCATGAAAATAAAATTCATAAAAAATTCATGAAAAAATGGAAGAAAAAAATATTTTATTATTATTGATTGATTTATATGAATTGATATTTAAAATTTTGATACACAGAACGAATCAAAGTAAATATAAAATTTGAAAATAAAATTAAATTTCTAATATTCTGTAATCATTTCAAAACAAACAAAACACTTGCTAATAAATTACCTACTTTATGGAATACCGTCAATTTTATGTGATTGTTACTCACGTTTTGTTATGTCATAGGCTATGAATGCGATGATTTAAACAAATCAGGAGCAACAACAATGAAACATTTTATTTTAAAGATAAATCAAACTAATGCAAATTGTTTATATTCACCTTTAAGCTCCGTTGTACGTAGTATTAGTAATCTTCGTGCAATATTTTTTAAAAAATAGAAATGTCAAAGGTCGAAAGATCGAACTATCAAGTTAGAATTTATTTTTATTTATTTGAAAGCGCACATCTTAGCTTGATAAACTTAATAATACCAAATATAAAAACCTCGACTTAAAATTATCCTCCTCTTCTATTCTTTACTTCTTCTTCTTAGGGTGCTTGTCCGTTCCGAACGATAGCGATCATTCTGGCTATGATGACTTTGTTGGTTATTATACGGAATAGCTGTTGAGGTATCTCTATATCATGCTCTCAGGTTACCAAGCCAGGATATTCTTCTTCGTCGTGGAACCCTTTTTCCTTCAATTTTACCTTACAAAATGCATTGGAGTAGCTCATAACTGCCTTGATTTCTTATTATATGTCCCAAGTACAGCAGCTTGCGGCCTTTCACGATGTTGACCAAATCCGCGGTTGTGTTTATCCTCTGTAGTACTGCTTCATTGGTGACTTTGTCTGTCCATGGTATTTTCAGAATCCTTCTGTATAAACATAGCTCAAAAGCCTGAAGTTTTGATAGAGTTTCCGCCTTCAATGTCCACTTTTCTACTCCGAAGAGAAGCACTGAGTACACGTAACATTTAAGGAGCCTTATTTTTGTTTCTAGGGTGAGGTTATGGCTCCTGAACACAGAGTTCATAGTCAAGAATGCACTTTTTGCCTTTCTGATGCGACATTTAATTTCTTGGGTATTGAGTCTCACGACTCATTGATTATAGTTCACAAGTAGTTGTATTGTGAGACACTTTCAATTCTCATTTGGTTCACACAGATTTGTTCCAGTTATGTTTTCCTTGATGATGATCATTAGCTTGGTTTTG